CCTGGAGCAGGAGGACTCTGCTCTGCTCTGAAATGTGCCAAGAAGCGCAGCAGGTTTTCTATTCTGTTTTTGTGATTTCCTCTTTCTGTGTTGCCCACAGAGGCATGGAATAAACAGGGGTGGCTCTTAAAACACTGCCCGCTGCCCCTTCTTTATTTTCTTTTAAAAAAGTTGTCTTATTTTACTTAGTACTCACAGCTCCGTGCTCTGGCAGGTAGGGATTATAATTCTCATTTTACAGAGAGGAAAATCAAGGCTCAGAAAGGTTAAGAAAACTGCCCAACTGGGCGTGGTAGCGCACGCCTGTAATCCCAGCGGCTCAGGAGGTGCAAGCAGGAGGATGGCAAGTTCAAAGCCAGCCTCAGCAATTTAGCAAGACTCTAAGMAACTCAGTGAGAYCCTGACTCTAAATAACATACAAAAAAGGGCTGRRGATGTGGCTCAGTGGTTGAGCACCCCTTAGTTTTTCAATCCCCAGTACAAAAATAAAAGAAAGAAAGAAAGAAACCTGCCCCAGGTCACAGAGCTAGTAAGTGGAAGAGCTATTTTCTTCCCAGAATGCCATGAATTTGCAACATTAACCTTCTTCTCAAGTAAAGCCCACTTAAAAGCAAGAGGTAGGAAAAAGGGTTGATAGGCTGAGGGCGAGCCTGCGCTCTCTGGTATGGCTTCTTCTGCCTCCTTTGTCTTTGTTGGATCAATTCCCTTGGTTCTACATCTTCTAACCAAGCTGGTTCTGAACCCACTTCTTCCAGGAAGACTTCCTCACCTGTCTCCTGGGCACTTGTGAGTTCATCTTGCAGAGTGCGGCTTGGCTGTGTGCTGAATGCTCTGRTCTTATGCTCCCACCATTTCTTGTGTGCAGCTCCACAGTCTCCCACCAGCTCAGCCCCCAAGGCTGGTGTGGCAGGCAGAATAGTCCTCCCTCAAAGGTGGCTGGGTCTTCATCTTCAGAACCTATAAATATGCAACTGATATGGCAAAGGGACTGTTCAGACGTGATTAAGGATTTTGAGATGGGGAGATTGTGTTGAATTACCAGTTGGGCCCAATCTAACCACAAGGGCCCCTAAAAGCAGCAGAAGAAGACAGGTGAGTGGGAGGAGGAGCTATGATGGAGGAGCAGAAGTGGTACTGAATGTGATTGCTGGCTTTGAAGATGGACAGGCCATGACCAACAAATACAGGTGGGCTCTAGAAGCTGGAAAAAKCAAGGAGATGGMYCCTCTCCTAGAGCCTCCAGAAGGTACACAGCCCTGCRGATGCCTTGATTTTGACTCAGTAAGAAACATTTTGGACTTTTGGCCTCCRAACTRTAARAGYATATATGTATTGTTTTAAGGCACTGGATTTCTGATAATTTGTTACAGYGGCAATAGAAAAGTAATATTTTAGGACTGTATGCTCTATTCCTGTCCTTCCTAGCTCCATATCCCTGCCCACTTCCCACTGCCACAAGCTACTGGTACCATTGGTGCTCAGCAGACAGTGGGGTTCTAGAACTTCAAATGACTGGCCCCTGACCCTCCAGAGGTTTGGGCTGCCCCTTAGCCTCTCTCACTACTGTATTATCTCAACAGTGGAAAGCTCCCTGCTGGCCCACTTTCCACCCTCCCCATGTAGCAAGGAGGAGCAGAAACAGCCATGCATGTATCTGGAAAAGTTCACCAGAAGCTGGACTTTTCCGGAGCTYAGATCATGAAGATTTTTTTTTTTTAAATGGAGGAAGCCAATCTGGCCAGAATTTAAGCCAAATTTATAGGTGGRCAGGGTCCTGAGTTGAAAGGTAATGCATGTGTGTCACCACATGATCTTTGTCCATCTGTTACTAGGTGACAAGGCAGGCTGGTCATTCTCTCTTGGTTCCAGCTCCTTATCTAAGGGATCTGGGGGAAGTGGATTCTTAGATTCCAGAGGAAGAATGTTAGACACTAGAGTCTTATTTCAACCTGCTGACCCCAGTTGCCTTCTATACTAAAGCTCTTCATAAGTTTTCCTGTTATTAATACATAAACTGGAACCTTCTTYCCCATCCTTAAATACACTCCCTCAATCAGAAACCTGGACAGAAGTAAGAATAATGAAATCTTGAACCTTAAACTCCACACTGACTTAATAACAGTTTGTGCAGGATGCACCAAATTGTATAGGTTAGAGAACTTGTTAGCGTGATTCCCAGAGACATTTGAGAAAATGACCCCTGTTCTGATTCCCAGTTTTGAGTGCAAGGTGGGGATTTGGGCTTTGCTCACCCTGAAAGACTGAGGGTGGAGGTTAGGGAGTACATTTATACCTAAGTGGCCTGTGATCACATTTTTACATAATAAAACTCTGAGACTGATGAGAATGTACCTGGTTCAGGTGAGGTGGTTTCAGGTACCTACTCATGAAGTTATGTATACAGTTATTCCAGACATGAATAGATTGATTGGTGAACCGACAGATGGATGGATGAATTAATAGGTCAATGTGTGAGTGGAGGGGGAGTAAATGGGTGGATCAATGGGTGAGCGAGCAGGTAGGTAGATGGATCACTGATGGATCACTCAATAGATGACTTGGCTGTAAGGGAGACATTGATGGTCCCAGAAGAAGATCTGATACAATCCTCTCTTATTCAAATATTATTACCCACAGTAGTAGACTTCTTGGTGAAACTCTATTTTTAGTACTGGGGATTGAACCCAGAAGAAATTTGCCACTGAGCAAATTTCACTTATATTTTATTTGGAGACAGGGTCTTTCTAAGTTGCCCAAGCTGGTTCTTAAACTTGCCATCTTCCTGCCTCAGCCACTCAGGTTCACCCAGCTTCTTGGTGAAACTTTGAGGCCAGGCGTCTGCCCCTCTGCCTCTTAGAAAACAATGCTGGTCTCACTGGCCTATAGACTATGTTGACATTTTCTTTTTAGGCATCCTTTAGATGTATAAACCCTATCTGCATGACCCAGTRACATGAATGCTTTGTTTTTCTGATGACCTGAACTTACTATTGACCTTTGTGAATACCAAGTCCTGTCTGCCCCACTTGTCTCTGGGGCTGAAGCTACTTGTTCCATCTCAGCTGCCATCATGACGACTCATTCTGAGTGACTTCTAGCCAGTTTCTGCTTGCTGCASAATGGCTAGGCACTCTCATGTGTACCAATCCCAAGTGCAATCCCAACACCCTCAGGGATAACCTTTGATTATGGAAAACAGGACCAGTAAATTGKGACCCCTTCCTAACTCTGGAAGAGGTCTTGAGACAGGAGTTCCTATAGTCTCTCAGAAGGGTCTTCAAGAGTAAGCACATGATCCTACATTGCATCATTCCCTACCTTGATTCTCTTTTCAGTCACTCTTGCTTCCCTAGATGCACTCTGCAACAAAGTGGTAGCTCATAAACATCTGTCTTCTGAGCCACTCAGGCCAGGATCAGATTAATATTACTATTTACACAATCCAGTTTGGATTAAGCATAAGATGTTTGGACCTCATTAGAGGTTTAGCCTGTTGATCATCTGCCCTATACACAACTAGGCTGTGAGCTATTCATTTTGGTATCCTCAACACTGAATATCAGGTTTGAATTTTTTACCACATCCCCATTCTTATTGTTTTTCATAAAATTAACCATGTTGGACAGGTGCCCTTCATGGATACTTGAATCTTCTGCTGTGTGTTGGCYATTGTCAACTGTGCTGCTATAAACATGGGTATGCATGTATCACTATAGTATACTGATTTTAATTCTTTAGGATGAATATCAAGGAATGATATAGCTGGGTAATATGGTTGGTCCACTCCTAATCTTTTGAGAAACCTCCATAATGAATGTCAGTGTTTTCCAAAATGTGGTCCAAAGACTGCCCACATTGAATCACCTACAGCACTTTGTTAAAGATGTAAAGCCCATGAAACCACCCCAAATGATAAAAGGCCTAAGGTGAGGTACAGGCATCTGTTGCCTGAACAAGCAAACCAGGTGATACTTAGCACACCAATTTTTGAGAAGCTCCAATATCAAAGAATCAGAAGTGAGCCAACAGTTCTTCCCTCCGTGTCTCAGTGTTGAAACCGCTGATCCTGGGCCAGGTCCGAACTTATCAGGGGAAGCCACTGCTGGGYTCCCAGAGCTAGATGCTTGTGATGAATGCCAGGCTGAGCTTTTAAAGCATCCATGAGTCCTGTTCCCTCTGCCATTCATTCCACAAAGACAATTGCATAAGCGCTCAGGGAGTCAGGGACTATAAATATTTTTGAGAACAGGAGTTGACATTAGGCAACTCATAGAAGTTTAATTTTTAACTAAAAAGACCTTCATCAAACAATAATAGCTTATAAATACTCTGTGATTCTACTTTTGGGAACRTATCCTACAAATTGCTTTATGATGGTATATATGTAGAGGATTATTCACTGCAGAACTCACTGTAACAGCAAAAGATCAGGCAGAGTGAAAATGCCCATCAYTGTGGAGTTGGTGAAATAAATTATGGAAACATCCACACAATGAAAAATAATGAGGAAACKGTAAGTATTGATATGGAAATGTCTCCGAGTTAGATTGTTAAGGGAAAAAAAAAAAGCAAGGTGCAGAACATGTGTATAATAAGATACCTTGTGTACAGAAAGGGAATGATAAAAATCTACATTCCTATTTGCTTGAATATTTACAAAGAATTGCTGGAAACGTGTATGAGAACTGCAGTTACCTCAKTGCCAGGGGATGGGAACTGAGCAGACAGGAAACAATGATCCTTTTGCTCTCTATATGATTATACTTTGAGATTCAGAACCATGTGAGTGTATTAAGTATTCAAAAAATTAATACAATAAATTAAAAATATGCATTTATTGTGGCCYTTGGAACAAGCAATCTGGTTTTGTTCTCCACATTTGATCATCTTGCTATCACCTGAAAGTCCTGGTGTCCCCAGGTTGGGTGCCACACAGTGGGAGGGCACTGCCATTCCTACTGTTCCTGTGGGTTAGGCTGGTGCTCCAGACCAGAATGCAATCCAAAGTAGAAGCAGGAGGTCAGGCAGGCCTTGGGTCTCCTATCAGGGAGAAGCAGCTCCACGAATTTCTCTTTGGGTCCACTGAGCCCAGCGAAGCTCTAGGAGAGGAAGGGTCCCAGCGCGGCTCCTAGTACAGAGGCATCAGCTGTTCCTGACTCATGAGGGAGGAGTGGTGGTAGCGATCTCGAGTGGCAAAGTCTGTGTTCTCCTGGGTGAGCTGAGTCATCTCCATGTCAACCCTAGCCAGGGATGGTGCCAAAATGATCTGCTCCTGGGACCGCAAGCTCCTTCTGTGAGAGACACAGAGGACASTAAGGAGGATGGAGAAGCAGAGAGGGAGTAGCAGAGACAACTCTACTCTGGACAGATGTATTTGTAAACTGAAGCAGGAGGATTGCAAGTTCAAAACGAGCCTCCAGCTGGGCACAGTGGCACACGCCTGTAATCCCAGCAGCTTGGGAGGCTGAGACAGGAGAATCGCGAGTTCAAAGCCAGCCTCAGCAATAGCGAGGCACTAAGCAATTCAGTGAGACCCCGTCTCTAAATAAAAACACACACAAACACATACACACACACAAAATAGGGCTGATGATGTAGCTCAGTGGCCAAGTGCCTTTGAGTTCAGTCCCCAGTATATCCCCCCCGCAAAAAGATATATATATATATATATATATATATATATATATATATATA